GTACTATAAAATTAAATTTTAAGAGTAGATAAAAATAAGTTAATTTATTTATAAATTATTTTTTAACACTCAACAAACTATCTCATAAATATATCAAATTTCAAATTAAAAAGATCTTAAAAATGTATTTTTTTGGAGGAAGGAAAAAAAGCACTAATATATTTGTACATAATTTTTAAATGCAAAATTACTAATAATATTATTTACATCAATATTGTATAACATATTATTTTAATACATAAAATGACCAAATTATTCAACGTTTCTTGTGACATTGACGATTTCAAGTAATTTTTTCAACAATTTTAACTTTAAAAATTTCCTTCAACATATACAATTATCATTGACATAGTTAAGAAGATTCGACAAACAATAGAAACATTAAGTAACAATCTGAAAATTTAATAAACTTAAGAATTCTAAATGCTGACATTAATTTTTTTTGGCAAAGTAAAAAAATTATATGATTAATGTCAGACAAATGAAAAAAAAATGTTCTTAAATTTATATATTTTTTGTAATTTATTATTATTTATAAATTTTAAACTTTCAAAAAAAAGTAAAGATCTAAAAATATTATCTAATTATTTACATATATTTTTATAAAAAAATCTATAACTATAAAAAAAATAACTAACTCTAAATTATACATCTTAGTAACAAACTCTCCCTTGTCCAATCAAACGACAATCCTAATTATTATTTAATTCGTTAATAATTAATAAAATTTTATACTATCACCAATAATTCGTTTTTTTTATTAAACCAATAATTCAGCAATAATTCCTTTTTTTATTAAACCAATAATTCGTTTTTTTATTAAACCAATAATTAGTTAGTTTAATAGAATGTGATACTAAATTCTTTAAACAAATCACCTTTATATTAAACTTTATAGTATCTGATCCAGATTAATCAATTAATAAATTGGTTAGTAATAGTTATTGGAAAAAATATATACTACTAATTCATAAAATGTTGATCAGGTAAGTAATTCCTAGATCCGTACTTCGTGGGTAAAACTAGAGATGTTCAAATTTTAGTTTTAACCGAATTAATTGATTAAACTGAAATTTTTTAGATGATCGATCAGTTAATTTTAGATTCGATCAATTAATGATTAATGTTTTTTTCAAACTTTAGTTATCAATTAATTTAATTCGAAACTTGTTAATTAAACGAAAATGTTAAATGTTAAATATTTAATATTATATATTATTTATATACTACTTAAACTTAGCTTGGTTTATTCGGTTTGGTTAATTCAGTTAAATGTTAATTATTTAATATATTATATATATTAAATAGAAGAATTATAATTTATCTTGGTTAATTCTAAGACTGATCGAATTAATTGAACTTTGTTTGGTTTTAAAAAAAATTCAAAAATACTTAGTTTAATTAACAGTTAAAATAATTTAATTAATAAATTTTGAATAATTTGATTCCAACAGGAAAAATAAACCAACTACTAACCCAATTTCCCATTTCTGCATAAACGAAAAAAAGAGATAAAAAATAAATTTTGTCCAATTGCAGCAGCAGCGCACATGACGACGACGACGATACGATCATCAAAGTCTTTTAATTCGATTTCCCCTCGCCCCCAATTTTTCCTCATAATTCCTCTCTATTTATTTTCTCCTTCTTATCCAATCATCCAAGTCTAATAAGCATATTCTTTTCTTTTTTTCTCTCTTAATTACATTTTCATTAGTTAATCTTATTGATTAATGATGTAGATAATGCAAATACAATAGTACTTTTACTCGCATTTAAAACGTTGAATTTTGACTGTTGGGTGATATTTCTTAACTCTTTAAGCCTCTTCTTAACTCTAGTTAAATCAAATCAAGTTCCAAACTTAATTTGTTATTCTGGATGATTCTTGAGTATCTGGAATCAGCAAAGTTTATGGACTCTGATTGTCTTCCTTGATTTTGTCTCTAGTTTGGGTGATTAATTTAAAACATATGTTCTTTTTCTTAATAACAACAGAATTATGTGGTAGTAATTCGTTTGTTTATTTCAGTTTAGTAATTATTAGTATTATCATACATAAAGTTGGTAGAAAGGAATTGTTTTTGTTTTAGCTGAATAGACTTGATTCCTGCTGCTAGGGAATCGATCGTTTGAAGAAAAACAGTGAAGCCTCTGCAAATTTTCAGGTTGATAGCCTATTTGGCTGTTCTGTTCTACTTATTTGGGATGCACCCTTTTTATGGTTCTTCATCATATGACTGCTCTGATGTTTGAGGATGTTAAATCATATAATTTCAATGGCCATTGTTTTTTATCTTCCCTCCGTTCTTCAACTTCCTTCCCTTTTTCCTTTTGTTGTTTTAAAAGTTTTCCAACATTACTTCTGCTACAGGTTTTAGTGTCTCTTATGTGTTTTCTCTTTTATGATTCACGTTTGTGTAAATCGAATGACAAAGATGTTGATATCTGTTTCAGTAGTAGAACAAGGTTCAAGCCATATAGTTAAAAAAGGCATGAGTCAACCGAAAATCAAGCGTCGTGTGGGTAAATATGAGGTGGGAAGAACTATTGGGGAGGGGACATTTGCTAAAGTGAAGTTTGCAAGAAATTCTGAGACAGGAGAACCCGTGGCACTTAAGATCCTTGATAAAGAGAAGGTTCTCAAGCACAAGATGGCTGAACAGGTTTCTTTTGATCCATTATTTTCCTCTCTTTCTCCATGGTTTGAGAAGGAATTTTGTATGTTTTTAGTTTCTTTTCTTCCATTTAACATTGGTAAAAACCTCATCAATTCTTCTATTTTCATAGTTTGTCAATGCTATTGTAATCATATTGTAGGAAGTTCAGATATCATATCAGATTTCTTAGACTTTTTTCTTCTTGTTTTCGCAGATCAAGCGTGAAATAGCAACAATGAAGTTGATAAGACATCCGAATGTTGTCCGTTTATATGAGGTTTCTCTTTCTCTCTGTTTGTTCTTGGTTGATTATGTACCATGTACTCGTATTCCCTTTTCTCCTTGTTTTCATTAGAGTATGTTGTGATTTATAATGCAAAATTTATATTTCTTAATGGTGGGTTGGGGACTTGTAAACAAAGTCTTCCTTCTTAATTTCGGTCTTTAGAAGTAATATGGGTGGCGTTATCTTTATCCAACCTTGAACATTATATGAAAATTTTTGGAATTCATCGTATGTTTATTAATTTTGAACATAAAACCAGTGTTGGCATCTGAAACAACTATTTTATTTGTAGCCTGCATATGTACGTTTGTGAACTGTCTGCAGAAATAATCACCCAGTTTAGATATATAATTGAGATGAAAGAAAAACTATTTTGATAACCAATCTCTTGCAATGCCTATGTGGAACTTTTTTCTTTCTATCTTTACATGGTTTATCCTGCTGTCTGATCTTTATAACTAGTTAATGATACTTTGTGCTCTTCTGTGTGTTTGTTATCGAAGAAAAGCAGACCAAGCAACAAGCTTTAAAATTTTTATCAGATCATTTTGTATGATTTTGTTCAGGTAATAGGAAGCAAGACAAAGATATTTATTGTTTTGGAGTTTGTCACCGGGGGAGAGCTCTTTGACAAAATTGTGAGTTGGTGAATCTTGACATCCTAAATACTAATATATTTTTCTAGTATCAACAATGCTAATATATTTGCAGCTTGCTATAACTGTAGCTAACCACTACCTGGTGAAATTTCTTCCCATTCACATGCCTTTAACCATCTATTAATTCTGAAGGTAAACAATGTACGGATGAGAGAAGATGAGGCACGGAGATACTTCCAGCAGCTCATTAATGCTGTTGATTATTGCCATAGCAGGGGTGTTTACCATAGGGACCTTAAGGTATTTAACTTAGAACCCTTTAGGTTGAATTTGTTTATACTTTCATACATTTGTCTACATGCATGCATGTTATGCTGTTAGGAAATTAAGTTCCTTTAAACTTTATTGTGATCTTTTTGCAGCCTGAAAATCTGCTGTTGGATGCTTACGATAACCTCAAAGTTTCTGACTTTGGATTGAGTGCACTATCTCAGCAAGTCAGGGTAATTTGCTGCCTTTTCTTTTTCCTTCTAATGCTGGGTGATTATTAAACTTCTATACTTGAATGCTTAAGCATTCTTGAGTCCTCAACCTTTTTCCTTTGAACTATGAAGTCATATAAAGGGTTATGGAATTGTAAACCAGTAATGTTGAATAGAAGGATTAAACTGTATAAGGAAATGTATGCTAGCCTGCTTAGTCAAAACTATAGATATTCTGTTGTCCGTGCTATTTATCTGCTTATTGGGCAAGTATTTTAAACTCCCTAATCCTGATGTAACCGATTCAGTAAATGTGCAGGACTTGTTCCATCTCTTTTTATCTTTGATATCTTTTAGAACAATACGAAACATTTCTAATCGAAAGAAGAATTTGTAGGAAGATGGTCTCCTTCACACTACCTGTGGGACACCAAATTACGCTGCTCCTGAGGTGTTGTAAATTGTTAAATCACATTAATTTTCTTCTAGCATTTGCAACTTCGAAACCCTTTTATTAACAATTTTATGTCTTCCTATATAGGTCCTTAATGATAGAGGTTATGATGGGGCAACCGCAGACCTCTGGTCGTGTGGCGTGATACTCTTTGTGTTGCTTGCAGGGTACTTGCCTTTTGATGATTCTAATCTTATGAACTTGTATAAGAAGGTTAGCATTTCCTAGTTGCATGTTACAGTTATTCAGTGTTTTCATTGCCTGTTTTTACTCTCATTTCTCCGAATTTGCAGATTTCAGTGGCTGAATTTACTTGCCCCCCTTGGCTATCTTTTAGTGCGATGAAATTGATAACTCGAATCCTCGATCCAAACCCAATGACCGTAAGTTATTATACTCGACTCCAACATCATGTAAACTAAATTCTATGTGGATTTAATAGGATGAGGGGATAAAACAATCCTATACTTCACGTCATGAAGTTCTGAATTTGGCCCCTTTTGTGGCAAGTAATTAAAGATTGTATATTTGTGCAAGTTAGGCCTTTCATGCATGCAGCCATGCATATTTATGTGTACATATCTCTTTCTTGCGTTGCAGCGCATCACCATTCCTGAAATTTTGCAAGACGAATGGTTTAAAAAAGATTACAAACCTCCTGTGTTCAAGGAGAAAGACGATACTAATTTAGATGATGTAGAAGCTGTATTTAAGGATTCTGAAGTAAGTGGATGAAACATAGGCATAAAAATGCTGCTATAGCTGATGCTTCTTAACATTTTTTTATTAATAACTCTATTTTGTTGGTTTGTAACAGGAGCACCATGTAACAGAAAAGAGAGAAGAACAACCAACAACAATGAATGCTTTCGAGTTAATTTCCATGTCGAAAGGGTTGAACCTTGGGAATCTGTTTGATGTAGAACAGGTTTGTATTTTAAAACTCTTTTCCATGTCGAGTGTTGACTATGGTTATGTTCAATTTTTTCCATGTATTTAGAGGGGCCTTGGAGGGTCATATCTCCATACATGTATTTCTTTGATAAACAAAGAATTACGAGATTTTAGAGAGGAAATGAGAGAAGAAACTTATGAGTAAAACTCAAAGAATTACAACCAATAGAAACAAGTAGAATTACCAACTACTACTTGCTCTAGTGAAACGAGACATTAGGTCTTTAAGCAAGGTCATGGCTTCGGTTCCTGGGTCAAACTTTAAAACATTGTAATTACGAAAATTGAGTTTCATATTAAAATTAACTGTTTCATTTTCTGCAGGGATTTAAGAGAGAAACAAGGTTTACATCAAAATGTCCTGCTAATGAGATTATACACAAGATCGAGGAAGCAGCAAAGCCTCTGGGATTTGATGTACACAAGAAAAACTACAAGGTGAGAAAACTTTACACATTGCTATAAATGTAACCAGGGATGGATCCAAGGGGTGGGTGGGGCAGTTGTCTCCCTAGAAGTTTCAAATTCTCATATATTTTAGATATTTTCTCTTGATAATATGTTTTTGTCCCTCTAGAATTTTATAAGTTCACCCCTAACATAAAATCATACGTCTGTCCTGAATGTAACTATTGGAATCTTTACTTCGAGTTTGTTTATTTCTTGTTCTTTCCTTTTTGTGCGTAGATGAGACTTGAGAACGTGAAAGCCGGGAGGAAAGGAAATCTTAACGTAGCCACGGAGGTATAGCTTACAGAAACATTTTATTCATTTTTGGGCTTACATTCTGTACTTATAAAACTCTTACTATGTCAACCAGATATTTCAAGTGGCACCTTCTTTACATATGGTCGAGGTGCGGAAGGCTAAGGGTGATACCTTGGAGTTCCATAAGGTACCACTTCATTCATCTTTCATTAAAATTTCATTACACGTTAGATACGAGTGTCGGATACGAATACTTGGACAAAAGACGAGTCGGAACAAAGTAGGTTAGAATAAATTATGGTGGCCATTAAAGGCTTGCTTTGTTTTTGGTCTGCAGTTCTATAAAAACCTTTCGAGCTCGCTCGATGATGTTGTTTGGAAAAGTGAGGAGGACATGAAAGAAGTGAAGTAAAACCAATGGTTTTCTTATGTGTATGGGCTGTAAGATTAAGCAGACATGCTTCTTCCCCCCATTGTTTTCCATGTTATTAGTGTCGGAAAACATGGATGATTCCCATGGGGCCTGCTTTACCCATGTATGCTGTAATATCAATATTTGGAAAAGAAAAACAAATGTCGAGTTTTCATTTTTGTGGTAGTTTTTTTTATTTTCTTAAAATTAAGGTCCTAATTCGATTATTATTATTTTTATAGTAAGTAGAGTGAAAGTATGGTAATGAGTCAAATGTCATATCGGATACCATGGGGACCATAAACAAGATTGCTGAGAAAAGAAAGATGGTGTGTCGTTTTCAATCATAAATTTGTATGCGAATATTCGTGTAATATCCCAACCCAATGATGAAGTATGGATAGTGTTAACATTATATATACCGAAAGGGTGGATGGGGCAGTAGTTTTTTAAAATCGTCAAATTTTAATATTTTAATATTTATTATTGATAATTTATTCTTTTTCTCTTTAAAATTGTATAAATTCATACTTTCTAACATAAAATTATGTGTTAGTTCGTAATTAACATATATATATATATATATTAAATATAATTTCATATATTTTTATTTTCATAAAATGACATGATTGAATCTAGAAAAATTCACCATTTGTTAAACAATAAAACAAATAATTAATTTAAGATATTAATTTAATATATTTTATAGGGATGATTGCCTCACCCGCCCTCCTTCGATCTATTCATGAATAAGACTGTGCGGGTAAGTATGGAGCAGTTGGTGTGCTTCTGCTAGATGAAACCATGCAATGGATAAATCCAATGCAAGTGATAACAACTGGTCGACAAGATTGTGAGCGTCACTTTCAGTTATCACTCAATAGACATGCGAAGACCATGCGTGATGGCTGAAGATTCAACCATCATACTGAGATGGCATAAGAATAGAATATGCAGCAAGCACTAAACCAGAATGATCACCATGTGGGTTGGGTTAAGGCTAATGCCGATGGGGCGGTGCGTTGCAATGACGGTGTTGGTGCTGCTGGCGGAGTGATTAGAACCGATCAAAGATCGTGAATCTTCGACTTCTCTAGAAGCTTCGGCAGTTGCTTTGTGCTACTAGCGAAATTATGGGCGGTTCACCATATATTTAATGCATGCTTGGAGGTTAGGTAGAAAAGTTGACCCGGATACCGATAGCTTACATGTAAAAATTTATTGAACATGCTTATAGCTTTAAATGTTTACGTAGCGTAGTCTTAATATACAGTTAAAAAAATGTGTTATCGATTTTATTATTTTTTAAATAATAAAATCGATAAAAAATTACTGAAAATATTATTATTTCTATCAGTTTTGTTATTTTGGGTGTTTTACCGGATTTGGTAAAGTGCTACCTTTTTTATTATTTTTTCTATCGGTTTTATTATTATTAGGCACTTTTACCGAAAATGTTAAAAAATTAATGTTTTAAGTAAAAATAATAATATTTTAAATACTTTTTACTGATTTTTTTATTTAAAGAATAAAAAAACCGGTATCTCCTTGTCAAGAACTGACATTGTAGACTCTATAAAGACCTTACCAAAGAATGAAATGGGAAGTGGAAGTGAGACATGTGATAAGTATTGATTTGATACATACATACAATATATATATATATATTAATAAAATTTGAGAGTTAAATCAGATCGGCTTATGTTTTTCCTAATATTAATTAGATCAGGTTCGAATTTAAGAAGAATACATCCTATTTAGAATAATGAGGAAAATATTTTATTTATGTATTTATATATTATTAGTTAGATCTTAATAAAAATATATGAGAACATTAACATATAAGACTAAATTAAAATATTAAATTAAAATTTATTTTAATCTTATGTTATTGAATTAAATAAATTAATGTTTTATTCTAATATTTTTTACAAAATATTATAAAAATTTTAAAAAAATGCCATGTCGGATTAGGTGAGAATCGAATTTCCAATACGAATTTGGGGATAAAAATGATTTTAATATCAGATCGATCAAAATTTATTATAATAATATCGAATCAGAGTTGAATTGACAAAAACCCATCCCATACTATTGTCATCCATAGTTTCAAATATTGGACATTATAAGCACTTCTAGTTGATGTGATAACATATTGTTAAGTCAAAATTTGTTTGTCCCTTTGTAGTGCAGAAAGAACAGTTGGTGCATCATTCTTTTTCCTGGTTATATATATATATATATACATAAAATATAAGAATATTAAAAATAAAATAAAATTACTATTTTCCAGACTCAATCATGCCCATGAATAAACCAAGTTGCTTGCTTCGTTGTTGGCAGTTAAGAAGGTTGATCCAGGCTTGTCTCATGTCCAAAAAATAAATAAATAAATAAATAAACCTTCATATGCTGAAGCTCCGATAGAGGGTGTGACACATTCACCACCTTGCACGAAAATGAACCTATTAATTCTTATGAATGTGATGGCTCTGGTGCAGATGTTATAGGAAGAAAATCAAAACTGGTCGATATTGTAGTTAGCTTCGGACCGGTGAGCACCATTAATCCGATTACGTTTATTCCACCCGGTGCTTATTATGCTTACACCAACACCAGTATTGGGGGATTGATCCCTCTTTTTCTGTAACCCAGGAATGCTCTGCTACAGCTTTTAAACTCATCCTTTCTTTTGGGTCTGAACAAAGAATATGGTTAACTTTTTGGATCAAAACTCGATACAAATTTAAGGACTACGTAATGATGTTGTAAAAGTAGAGAGATTGAATTATGTCAAATTAAAATACAAGAACTAAATAATTATAATTGGACCAAAAACAGTTTCACTAACCTTTGCAAAGAAGTCCTTGTAATAAATTCTGTAACTCTGGGTTCATGTCATTTGGCAGAACCAAGGGGTTATTCACAATCTGCAGACGTTAAAATGAACAACGTTGTTGGCGGCTGTCGGAGAATGTTTGAATGCCGGAACAAGAGCAGAAGTGACAGAGAAATTGAGAGCAAATTGCATACCTTTTCATACGTATCTTGCAGAGTGTCTCCAAGAAATGGAAATTTTCCCAGTATCATACAATACAACGTAACTCCCACGGCCCATGTATCCGCAGCCTGTCCTCCATACGTAGAGCCTGTTAATGGATTTCATGTACAATCAAAGCAAACATATACTCCAGTACTGCTAAACCATAGTTTCAGCTAATTGAAGGAGCACCAACCTTGACAGCACTCAGGTGCAGTGAAAACAGGAGTCCCCGGAGAACGACGAAGCTCATCATTGTCATCCTATAAAAATAAACTGATTTTCTTACAAAAGTTCAATTGAACTCTTTTCAGAATGTGCATCAGCCACACAAAGCATTGAACTAATCAAAACAAGTGCATGTAACCTATTAAAATCAAGTACATTACCCTTTTGAACTAGCCCGTGTCTAAGAAAAATTTCATATAAACAAAACTGTAGTTCGTATTATATTCTATTTGAAATAAAACAGTATGACAGAAAAGTGGTTGTCAAGAAAAGGGACAGATCTATATTACTTAGACTCTGGATATGGGTATATGTTTGAATAGTTATGTTCGATTTATTATTATTATTTTTAAAAAGGATTTTTCATGTATTTGAGAATCTTTAGAAAGCTATATTTCCATACTCATCTCCAGATATGCATCGGACAAGGGTACTTCAATAAAAATGAAGGGTAGCTGTAATGCAGGGACATAAATATGCTTGTTATACATATTTCTTACACGAGCAAAAATTATTACACTTTAATACTTTCATTTAAGTAATAATATGAGGAATTTGAGGGTGAAGTAGTGTCATTACCTCAAACACCTGGCTGACACTAAAGTCTCCTATCTTCACCGCACCCGTGCTAGTAATCAATAAATTGTCAGGTTTTATATCTCCATGAACAATATTCTGCAGTTAAAAGAAGAGACACAAGTAAGCATGATAAAATAGCGAGACAAAAAGTAATAGATGATATGGCTATCACGGGAAACTAGACTCTCCACATAAAAAGCAAAATTCATGGAAGCATGTGCAAACGTTCGAATCATAGGAAGGCAGAGAAGTAATAGGAAAGGAAATCCTAGAACACAGACGATTAGATCAAATACTTTCATCATTGAAACATTAAAACACAGGGTATCAAACATGCATACACATGCTGCACATTTATATATCTTAGGTATCACAACTGGCAAACTCTGTTCTTCAGAGATGTTGCTTGTAAACTGACAACCTCAAGTGTTGTGTGTGTTTAAGAGCAAACAGGATGACTAGAAAGACAAAAAAAAAGACTACACATAGTCACATACTCAAAGAAAAACCTTATCATATTTTTCTAACCAAGTATGTAGTTGGACACAAAAAATTAAACACACCCTCATAGAGAATTGAAACATTTTAAAAAGAGAAAAATAATAAAAGAAATGAAATCATGTACAAAAGTTTATATGAAATCATACATGTGCATGGAGGTACATAAGCCCAGATACTATATCTCGCAAATACTTCCTAGCAGTATCTTCTCCCACGGCTCCAGGAGGACCAGAACCTTCACAAACACATTTTCCTTGCACATATTCAAGAACTACACAAAAAGATAGCTAACGGCCGTCAATATAATAAGCTAACTCGATAACTCTTTTATGCACATCACTTAGAAGAGAAAGAAATCAAAGAGAAATATAAATACCCATGTAAAATTGATCCGTGGTTGGGTCATCAATCACCTCAATGAGATTTACTATATTAGGATGCTCCAACATTTTCATGATTAGAACCTGTAAGGTAAATGGATAAGATAAAGACTGAGCTAACCAAATTTTTTTTAGTTGCTTCCAACATTTTCATGATTTAGTTGCTTCCAATTTACTTAAAAGGAAAATGAGTGCAAAAGCATAACAGTCATTCACTATAAGACAAAAGAATCGAATTAAAAAAAGAAAAAGTAAACCAATAGCAGAGTTGATGAGCTAACCATCATCAAAGACAAAGCCATTAAAATTCTATGTAGGTGGAAGACAGCAAGAATTCTCCATTAAGAAAAAAGAAAAGGATAAAACGAAATTTCAAAGAGGAAGGCAATTACATTTTCTTGACGTTGAGAATGAGTGGAGAGTTCAATGAAATTGCTTGAATACAGAGAACCTAAAAAAGAATTTCATAAACTGATGGAATATAATTATATAAACCTACGCACTGAATTATAATTTTAATCAAAATTTAAGAACGAAATTTGCAATTTATAATGAACTTTACACTTTGAACCAAAAAACAGAAGGAACGTATAGACTACTCCACATTAAACAGCAGATACATGGCAAACAAGACAGTTTTAAACCCTAAAACTCGTCGAGTCTTATGCAATGTATATACGAATGGTTATACCAGTAGAACAAAAATTTCAAGCCAATACCTCACAAAGAACATCATTCATTGCAGTCTCGGATGGAGCTACCCTCAGTTTTAACAAATGAGACTTATGAAAGGCCTGAAATTCAAATACAACATTGACTCATTACTGCATGGTGAACCATTAATTTGCAATAAAGTTAAAACATATAACCTATATGAATATGATGAAAGATAAAATGTTTCTGTAGTTTTACATGCCTCAGCTTTGCTAGAAAACATTTGTTTGTTACTGTCATTTTTATGTTTAAACCACAATCACCTATGTACTGAAACAAGCTACTAACCTTAATAGCATATTGTTTCCCGTCTACACTGTTTTGATATAGAACCTGCGACACAAGCAAACAAAATAAGTAATTATTTATTCTGTTATGCAAATTATGTAACACGGTGTCTTTCAACAATATCCTTACCACTTTTGCATAGCTACCAGAACCAATCTTGTATTGACGCACATATTCATTAACCATCTTATTCCCATTTTCATCCTGAAAATGAAGTCGATTCTAAAACTTGATAAGCATCACAGGTGAACACAATGAAATGAAGATTACTGGTATAAATACATAATGGTACACACGATATCTCGCATGCTGAAACATCCACAAGGAAAAAATATTAACATACACGGTGTACTTCAGTGGCAATGGAGGCATAATAACATCTCTGTGCCTACCTCTGAGCGAATAATCTTATTGGTTTCCTTAACAACAAATTGCCTGCAAATTAATCCATTGTTGATCCTGAACCTTAAAATCTCTTCAGAATGCTTGGCACGGCTTCGAGGCTCAACCTCATCGACATGAGAAGTGCTGGCCTCATTATCCTTATATGAACAACCATCATCTTCTTCTATTTCTAAATCTAACAAGTCCAGGTAGTTTGACCTACCAACTGGCCTTGGCTGTTTGGGCTTTGTTGTGTAGCCAAAGCAACCACAGCAGGCAGCAAATGAAAAGCTCCTACTTAACATTATAACAATTGAGACCTTGAAACTTGAAAGTAGTAAATAGTGGCTCTCGGCACAATAAGCCTCAAATATTAAACCTGAAAAGCGAGCATACGCTTAGTGAAGGCACCACCTATCTGAAACTGCACAAGGAATCTTCATTGCAAGATTAAGACTAACCCATACTATATATAAACTCGAGCTCCATTACTTTGTTAATTTTTAACTTGCATTGACTATTGCTAAAAAACGGAAGATAAATTTGATTTAAAATGAGCAAATGAGTTAATTGGAATACAGATTCAAAGATTATTGATTCCTCTAAAAACCTAGAATCTTGCATTTTTCTAATCAAACAGTAAATTATTAAATCTTCAAAAGCGTCGCATTACAAATTCACCTTTACATACATTTTCATCACAATACTTTAATTAAAAAAATCATGCATTAGAACTAAATAAAGTTTAGCAAAAAAAACCGAAAAAATGGAAACTAAAATATTAATTGAAAGAGAAAACCAAATTCAAAATTACCTGGAATGCTCGAAACCTTAATCAGCTGGGTATTGGGAAGGATAGAAATTCAACAAAACGAAGGCGCTTTCAACATAAAACCAACAATGATTCCCAAACAACTTGATAAACAAAGAGGCTAGTTTGAATTTGATTTCTTTTTTTATTAAAAAATAAATAAATAATTTGAACCACTACGAAGACGACGATTACGAAGCCTCCGTAGCGGTTTCAAAGAACAGAAAATCAAACTAAAAAAGCTGTACGTAAAATTTGATGAATTCGGATTGTTAAATGTCAGCGATTATTTCGTATTTATATATATAAAATTTTCAAATTGAAGAAAATACAAATCAAGCAAAAATAGCGATGCCACCTATAAAACAGTGTTGCTGTTAGATTACGAGTGTTGGGCATTTGTTTAGGGTAAACTATCCCAAACTCACTAAAGTATTGACTTCATTCTATTTTGACCACTAAACTAAAACTTGGGTCATTAAATCTTTAAGAGTTAACTGCACCATATGTCCCCAAACTATAACTCTCATTTTAAATAGGTCCTTAAACTTTTAAATATTCTAATTTAATTCCCAAACTATGGCTTTCATTCTAAATTAGTCATTAAACTTTTGAAAATTCTAATTACATCCCTAAACTACGACCCTCTTTCTAAATTGGTTCCCAAAGTTTTGAATCTTCCAATTTCATTCCCAAATTCATCCAATTATGTAATTAATTTCAACCATAGTTCAACCTAATTTTTTTTCAAACATGTAATAATATAAATTGGTCTAACAATTTTATTGAGGCTTAATGCAAAAATAAGTGCCTAAACTATACTCAAAATTAACTTATGGTGTCTAAAGAATTTTTATATAAAATAGGTGCCTAATGTTTTATGCATTACAGTTTTAGGTGCATACCGTTAAAAAAGATATTCAAGCCTTTTAAAAATATTTTTTGTTAAATTTTTCATTATATTTTTTTGAGTTTTTTTAAAATAAATATTTTTAAAAATATTTAAAAAAAATTAAACGTGACGTGCGCCGCTTAATGTTTTTTTAACGGTAAACACCTAAAAGTGCAACAGATAAAACTTTAGGCATCTATTTAAAAAAAAACCTTTAGGTACTAAAAAATAATTTTGAGTATAGTTTGGGCACTTATTTTATATTAAACCTTTTATTAACAAAGGATGTGATTAGTATATACATATAGTTTAGGATAAAATTAGAATATTCAAAAAGTTTAGAGACTAATTTAAAATAAATGTCATAGTTTAGGGATGAACTTAAAATATTCAAAATTTTACATATTATACGATAAACAACTGGGATACATAAACAAATCAACTTCTACAGGAACCCCAGACTCACCAGGATGGACGTGGGACACCAGTAGAAGATTTAGTGTAAAGAGTGCATATAAAAAAAGAACCAACATGAATGTTGAACCAGATTACAAGTATGGGGTTTGATATCAAAGTATGGAGGCCTACCTAGGATACGTACACTGCTATGACTCCTCTGTAAAGGACGCTTACTAACAAATAAGGAACGAGTAAGGAGACACATGACAACGAATGAAAGTTGTAGTGAGTGTGGAGCAGCAGTAGAATCAACCACACATATCTTTTGAGAATGTATGGCCGCAACATCGACTTGGAGCGTAATCATTAAGCCTACGCGATTGGAAGAATTCATGACAAATGAATTAACGGAGTGGATTCAATGCAACCTCCAACAGCAATCGTACTTTCCAAGAGAAGCTGAAGATTGGGATTTGCTTTATGGATCGGTAATTTGGAACCTTTGGACACGTAGAAATAGACAAATCTTTGATCCAGATTACTGTGAAGTTGAGAGTTTGGTTCAACGTAGCCGCAGACTCCAAAACGAAGCAACACATGCCCTAGCCATAAGCAATGCATGGCGCGAACAACAAACAAAGAAGGAAGACCGGAGCAAAAGCTGGTGTCCACCTCCCCAGGGGTGGTACAAACTGAATACAGACGGAGCACAACGCCCAGATTCCGAATTAGCTACGTGTGGTGGTTTGATTCGGGATGCACAAGGAGAGTGGATCGTGGGATTTGCAAAACCCATCCGTGCATGTTCAGTGCTGGACGCGGAATTGTGGGGTGTATTCGAAGGTATGACACTGGCATGGAACCAAGGAGTACGAGACGTCATCATAGAAACAGATAATAAGGAGGTACTAAACCTGCTTAAACAAGGGGAAGCCATGAAAGGTCTCTCATCAATGACCACTGATATTGCCGAGCTCATCAAACGACAATGGCGAGTTTCCTGCAATTTTGTGCCTCGTGAGGAGAAAAGGATTGCCGATGAACTTGCAAAAATGGCATGGGACTGCCCTTTAAGCTCCACATATCACAGCAACCACCTAGCACGATAGAGCACCTGCTGACTGTAGAGAAGCTGCATGCTGAGGAAGTAGTAACAGTTACTTAGAGTAAACCGTTTATTAGGCTGCTTAGTTCTTTTTCCATTCGAAAAAAAATCAACTTACTATAAATATTCAATAATGACATCAGAGTAAGATTTTCTCACATGATGAACAAAAGGATTGATGATACAATTATTCTCCTGTTAATTTTAAATATTATATCATTAATTATTAAAATATGTTAAATAAACAATAATTAAAAAAATTGTCAATAAAATAGTTTTCTTATCATGTCTGATAAATAGATTAAAATATATGTCACGTTTAATCTAAGCATTTTCAATTTTTACTATAAAATAAAAAAAATGATTATACAATTTTTAATAACTAAACTAAAAATTATTAAATAACTATGAAAAAGACTAAATAATTACAAAAAAAGTAACGACTTTTTATGCATTGATATTCATGTTAGATGACAAATAGAGAGCCTACACTAGAAAATTAATCAGAGTAAAATATTTACTTTTAGAATATAATTAAGACTAAAAAAGAAACATAAATACTAAACATATATAAAATTTCTAAATATGCATTTCCTTTTTTTCTTTCAAAATTTTGTAAAAGATTTTTTTAATTCTTATTCGCATAATTAAATTTTAATGTGTATAATTTGCCTATATCTCTATATGTCTAAATATGTGACCAACAAGAGTCTCAAACATAACCACTCCAATGAAAATAGTCAGACTAGAAATATAATATAGGATTTTTCGTACAAAATCATAATCCTATAGGCTAAAATGGATATTCAATAACGCATTAAGTGGCTTTTTAATGGCTTTAGTAGTTGAAGGGAGTCTCTCTTGAAGTTCTAGATTTCAGCTGCGTCTACAAAATGTGTATGAGTTGTTAATGATTAAGTAAAATTATGAGAATACTTGTATAAAGAAAAAGCAACCCGTATTCGGCACCGGCCTGTTCCGAGTTTGGGTAACATAGCTTATTATACTATTATCAATTATGTCCACAATTCTCCATGCTCAGATAAGCCATCAAAACCAGAAACAAACAAGCAAGTCCAGAAAATAAGCTGTCATTTATATTATGGTCTACAAGAAGACCTCTAAAATTCGACAAATCCCTTTTCCTTCAAGCTGTCAACCGTTTCCTTGAGGCTCGCATCCAAAGGAATGAATTCTACACCCAAAGTTTTTGCCTTTTCCTTTGACACCTGATACGTTGGCACAAACGGCTTGTCATCCGAGCATCTGTCAATTTTTTTTATCAAACGGTCACTGTTTAAGTATATATCCTGACATCGAGCATGCAACATAACGCAGAAGATATTTTCTTCCGAAATTGGAATCAAACATCAAAAACCATACTGCAACAATGGTGCAGAGTTTGTAATGTTTTAAGGTTAAGAAGTTAATTACTTACTTTTCAGGAAGTTGGAGATAAGGATAGAGCTCGTGTAAGATCTTCACAATCTCAGAGTAATGTGCAACTCTCTCAACTAAACAATATCTTCCAGTAGCTGATGGAATCTCAAATGCCTGGATATGTGCATTGGCAACATCTTTAACATTGATCCAACTCAAACTTGCATTGGGGAAGGTCCGTGCTCCTGCAGAAACAACCGTTGATGAAACTAAAACTTTTAATTAAGCAACTAAAACATGTCATTAAGCAAATAGCAAAGCATCAATCTCCAACTTAAAATTGAGAAAGAAAATAGTGGCCAAGAATACCTTTAATTAAGTTTAAAATTGCTGCAGCACTGGTATTAAGTGTTGGCTGTAAAAGAGGGCCAATTACCATAGCAGGGTTTATGGCGACCATGTCAATGCCCTTCTCCTTAGAAAATTTCCAGGCAGATTCCTCGGCCATTGTTTTTGAGACTACATACCATTGCTGAATTGAAAAGAATTATAGCAAAAACATTAATTAATTAAAAAAATTCAGTATGAATATATATATATATATGAACTTATCATGCACTTGAAAACGTTAAGGCTGTAGCACGCACATATAGTATAGTGCACAAACATAAGAATAAAATGCAAATTTGTTCCATATCTGTAATACAACCTTGCAAAATTTGTTCCATATCTG